TTTCCTTGAGACTTCTGAGCATTTTTCAATACTAAGATATTGTCCAAGAACATATCTTTCAAGACAACAGAGTCACAGGTCTACGGGAATATCGTTCCAGGAGTAGATCTTAGGCACATGAGGGCGCTCTTGCCATGAGACGCGTCAATTAAAGCGAGCCTCGTTACACAGAATAAACTGCTGTGCTGTTTGGTACGCGGGGCAGTTGTAAGACCATCAGGCATCAGCCATGCCCCACCCCATTTTAAGTCCTGCAAAAGGTGTACGGATGCCCCCGGTGATTGGTGTCCTTTGCAGTGAGCCAAAAATCAGCGAGATCTACAGTTATTTGAGACATGAAAACTGCGTTGCGCCAAGACAAAGGGGATGTGTTGAAATTACTACGGCATGCAACCTTTTTTTGCATTCCGATAGGATGTAGGATTTACAGCAAGGTCACTCTTGGTCGGAAACACCGTTTGCCTGAAAATGCACATTCCCTTAATGTTCAAGGGGAGGGATTTCCATTCAGCATCTAGTACATGCATCAGTAGATTTCCAACTTGCTCCTTACTCAAAATGCTGCGCTAAGTTTTGGCAGGAAACTTCCCCCCGATCACATAAAAGCCAGTATCGGAAGTTTTCGTGCGAAAATGATGGCATTTTGGTCGGCAGAAAACTGCATGCACAGCTTCGCCTCATCAGACACTTGTAATCTCTACATATTTGTTAGACATGATAAGAGCTTCACAAGATTTCTTTTGTTGTTTGTATCCCCCCCCCAAAAAAATATGAAGTACCTTTGGCAAGAGAAATTCACTCTCCCATCGAGCCTACCCCAATCATTCCATTATGACTCGTATGAGGGCGCTTTTGAAAGAAACCGTTCTAATTGCAGCAGGTGTCTGTATGGTTGTTAGTAACCGCATCACTATCGAATCCGACCGCGGTGTGTCCGAATTGCCCTTGAAGTTTATGTTATTATTTTAGTCGTGCAGAATTTCGAAAATCTGGGTGCTCCTTGCTTCGGTATATAAACAAGAAGACCATCTTTTGCGCGTAAGTTTTAGTATATTTTAATTGCCCATGTAAAATCACAATAACTTTCATCATCGAACTCATCATCACCAAAATTAAGAGCGAAGCCGTCGTTAATTATACATGAGTGTTTCACACTGCACTATGCTTTGTGCGTTGATAACATGTCTGCGTAAAACATCTGCATTACACGCGAAAATGTGATTGCGTACGATCCGAATGAAATTGATTGATGTTGAAATACAAATATACGGTTAGTTGGAGCCCAAAATAACAGGAGACGAGAGGAGGTGGCACTGCACGTAGGTGGGGCTTATCACGTAAGGGCGGTCCCACTTGAAGGAAAAGGAGAGAATGAACGCAAGGGTGTTTCACTGGTTTCCATCGGAGATTGCGCATTATTTTTGTCCACATGTACCGAGTAGTCAAGCGACTGATAAATCACATTCAAGCAGATTATTTTTGCATTACACCCAGGGTAAATACAAACGGGGAACACCCTACGTCCTAGATACATGAAAATGAGAATAATATCAAGCAAGAAAAGATGTCAAAGGCATGACGAAGAGACTTTTGCTAGAATTTTTCTGTGGTGGGGAAGATTGGGTGGGCCAGAAAAAGGAAAAGGGGAGGGGGTGATCTCTCCAACTCGCTTGAATGCAGTAAATGAATACCAGACGTGGTTCGGGGCTCATGGATTATGGGTATATATGCTTCCTGTAACTATGGTATTCAGAAAAATCCCTCCATGTGGTATAGTTTTGGCTATATACATTTTGGAAGAAATTGACAAATCTCACAAAGAGGTAACCTAGCAATCTTGAAGTTGCAGGTTGTTCGTTCTCAGCTACATTGGGTCGTCTGCAACTGCTTTATAATACTGTGTGCCATAAAGCTGTCTGCTCCGTTGTGTTTTATGGAAGCATCTCCCAACAGGATCAGCAATAAGAGCACAATTTATCGAACACCAGACAGTGGCGTATCTAGCAGCCTCCAGACCGACATGTTGTCATTATTTTATTGTTTACTTTTTTGTTTAATTTAATTTATTTATTTTTGAATTGCAGGCAACAACACTTTAAAATAGTAACCGCTTCTTTCGAAGGGGAGTTCTTTCACATATTAGAGAATGATAATCATTGAATTATAGGCAAAAAACCAATTTGCCCATTCAAAATCCCAAACCCAGAAACGCTGTAATGATACACAAAATTGTTAGTTCCTTTGCCCAAGTGTGGTGACCATCACTTTGGGAGGTAAGCGCATTAAATCTGTCGATTAGCTTTGTAACTTTTGAACGGGGGGGGGAGTGAATTCACAGATCTTAAAGGAACAGCATACAGACGATCGAGTTGACGGTCCAGACGAGGTGCTGCTGGACAGACCGGATTAGGTGTTAATTTTTAATCACAGCAGCAATCACGGCCAAACAGAGCATCCATCATAGCATCATAACAACGTGGTAATTGGTGGCTGTCGACAACGTGATCCGTATTGCCTTTTGCATTCTCCACACAATAATAGGCAGTCTGAGTGTGCTTCTCCACGTTTACCGAGCAATGTTGAGCACTCTAACGACATGAGACAAATAAAATCTTGCCCTGTTAACAAACGATTTCTGGGCGCACTGTCCCTTTTTCGTTACTCTGATTGCCAATCAGTGATCAATTCTGGTTCATGTAATCGGCATCCCATTACGCCAAAGGTGTTCAGCACTAGACTGGAAAGAGGGATGGGCCTATACTTCACGGGGTAAATATTGAAATTTGCCTCTTCTTTTAAACTTCTGTTTGTTTTACAGGAGGAAACCTGAAAGGACATGGGATGAGGTCACTTTGAGAGGTCCTTCCTTAGTCCAGTTACATCTTTTTTTTTCGACTGGACCGTGAATAATTTTCTCACAGTCACATTCACTGAGGCGTAACAAAAAACAACAAACCTAACAAAATACACAAACACGCAGGATCCTCATCAAGGGCGGATCCAGAACCCATTTTTTGGGTGGTGGTGGTCTTTTTTTTGGGGGGGGGCCAAAACATTTGGCTTTTTTTAATGAAACCTTTTAAAGCCTTTCTAAGGGGTGAGGCTACATGGGGGACACATGTAATGGATTAGGTGTTGATTTGTATAAGGGAGGAAAGTGTGAAGAGAAATAGTCCCCCTAAATCGCATTTCTCAAATTTCTTTTCAAAAAAATAACTTTTGTGGCTTAAGTTTTTGGGGGAGAGGGGGCATTGCCGCTTCCCTCAGAGGTTGCCACTGACACTTAAAGCAAATCATCACTTGGCAACTTCAGTGCACAAGGAAACTGCCTGTTCCAATTAACGAACCGAGCAAAGCTGTTGTGAGGAAGAAAACAAACACACAAGTTTAAGGTTTCGAAAATTTCTCAAATTTTATTACAAAATCCTCACATCTAAACCCGACAAACTGCATGGTAAAATCGAACACAGAACCAAACCTGAAAAACCACCCCCCCATAATTGAGTTTTATGATGGTTAAGTGCCATCTACCCGAAGAAGAAGACACGGCCCAGAATGTGTTAGAGGAGATTTTCGTCTACGTTCTCAGTCGCTTTGATTGTAGCTTGAAGACAAATAGGCTAAGAAAAAATGGGTTGGGCATAGGTTGCCAATTTTGTTTTGGCTGCTCTATTTTATGTTGTGTTTGCTTTTAATATTTTTTTTAAAAAGACTTAAAAGCGCCAGCACTTTAGAAATAATATCAGCGCCGTCCTTGGCTGTGGGGAGGATTCTTTCACGGATGAAAAAAAAAAGATTGGACACTGGTTGCAGAAAATATTGCTCCCTCCATGACCCAAATTGGATTCTCCATTGTTTGAAACAGCCTGCATCAAATCCGAATATTTCATGAAGACGACACTTTATTTGTATGAAAATGACACCCAAACATGTTTGAAACCTCACTCGACAAACCTGTATAGCTGTGGCATGGACACCAATTTGCGTAGCGCGAAGAACAAGAAATGTGTCAAAGGTCTGTTTCAGCAGCCTCAGGATTGAGTTTCCATCAATGTAAAATAAGTAACTAAACAGACTGCGAGAAACATGGCGACTCCCTTCGTTTCTACAACCTACTAAAATTTCGTGTGGCAATAAAAATGATCATCATTGGGAAAAGAAACACTATTGAAAATGCTCTCCAAATTTTGAATTTTTAGGTTATATTTGAATTAACTTATTGTGTTTGTATGTTTATGTAAATTGAAATAATGCATCAAACCCATATTCCAATCACTGATCATAACCAAGAAGGAAAACAAAACAAAACAAGTCGAAAAACGGTAGTCCTACAATAAAAAATTAATGTTGGAGTAGACAGAAACTAACCTTTTCGTAGCTTCTTTTTTAATTGAGTTAGCCCGTTTCATGAATTTAGAACAGAATACAACTCCCAACAAACAGATACAAGGATAATGTTCACATGAAAAATTAAATTCTGACACATTGTTGGCGCTTTTTAAAATCGAAAACAATTCGTGATTTATTTTGCAAATTTCCACCACAGACCTATACGGGATCTCCCCCTTATCCAAAGAGCCAATGAAAGCTATTTTGATTCGCTCCGATCGAGATAATTGATAGTGAGATGAAAGCTCAGACAAAATTTTACATTCAGATAAAAAGTTCATTGTCCTTAAATGAACTATTACTAGAACGGTAACTCCGCCATGACGTCATCAATTTATTATGATTTGAAGAAGCGGGTAAGGTCAAGGTCACAAGGGGACGACACCGTGAGTAAAACTCAAAAGTACTGAGAACTTAGCCTGAATATTCCTTGATTAGAATGATCTTTGTTTTTGGCATATATCTTTACAGCTTCCTCAGAGATAAAGTGCTTTAATCCACTTGTTTTCAATTTAACCAGTGCGCTTCATTTTGCTCACAATCCCTCTGACCTGTTTCCAACCCGCGGAATATAATGGTACAGCCTCATAGACACACATAGTTAAGGCATTTGTACGTTTTGACAAGCAGAGCGTGATCCACGAATGTATCGTACCGGGTAATGGCACGGTACTTAACTCTTTCTTTGCCGATTTCAAGGCCCCAGAGGACCAGTCAGCGCCTAAAATCCCGCCGTACCTGGACTGGGAATTTCCCAAGACATTGGAGCTCAAGTCAGCGCACGACTGTACCGGTTTGAACTTGAACACCTAACAAGAAGTGTTTCCATTCGCGCCGGGGTCGAGTTATTTTTTTCTTTTTTTTTGCCGGGCAGAGAAGATGGCTGCCAATGCATCGTCGAGTGATGTACGCGAGGCCGTGCCAGCTACGTGCGGTGCTGCTACCATGGTGGGACCGCCGCCCGCCTCAGCGCCCCCTGCACCTGGTGGGCCCGGGCCGGTCAGCCAACCGCCCTGCGTACAGCATACCCAGGTCCTGAGCGGTGTGAACAGCACGACCAGGGGGTTGCCCAGCGATCCCAAACCTTCCACCAGCATGCAGGCCGGGGGACACACCGGTGGGAAGCCAACCAAACAGCGATTCAAAGGTAAGATCGCGGGAGTGATTTGAGGGGGAACGGTCCCGCAACATGAAAATCCTGGGTCACGGTAACAAGGTCAAGGCGTACTGAGCTGTTGAGATCATGCAAGAGCGGATGATTGTGTTGAATTAATTTATTCAGAGCCTCACGTAGCCTTCAGCGTGTGGCCTGCTCATTTGTGACCCACGGTTCCAACACCAGGCTGAAGTTGGGCCCAGGTAGGCCTAATAATTTTGAGTTTGGAAATTTCTCTTTCTCACTGTTAATTTTCACATTTAGATTTAAAGTGAGCCAAAGTAAATTTTCTTTCATCCTACAGAAAGCTTAGCTATTTAAAGAGAATGGAAGCCGTGGGATTTATAATAATTATGTATATATTTGTGGTGTCATTTTCCAGATGATGGGCACAGCTTGTTATTTGTTAGCCTGATTTTGGAATTTGGTTGATTGTATTTTTTAGTAAAATTTAGGAGATAAACACTCAACACTGACACAGTTTCTGTAGGAAATACTTTAATATGATTTTAAGATAATGATCACGTTTTATACTGACAGATTGTTTATTCCGGACATGGCTATGTTGGTTGAACATGTTACCCTGTCCAGGACTATTGAAGTGTAGCGTATTGGATGAATCAGTTGAGGAAATGACCAACATTTAGTATTTTTGTCATGAGCTCACAAAAGCCAAATAATTTTTTTGTCATATCATCAAAATGGCTAAATGTAGAGTGCATCAGATGCCCTTTATCATGTGTTATTTGCCACATGTAACATTCAAGACGTTTGTTGGCAACTGCAGAGCAGGTGCTACTACCATTTGGGGCTCAAAACAAACCTAGCCTGCTGTTTCCACTTCAATGCTGGCATGATACATGTAGCCACATTGTACATATACTGTGCTTAAAAACTGTTTGGATACATAGTTGATAAGGATAAAGTTTTACCACACTCCACTCCAATTTGGAATCTCCGTGATGCACCCTTTGTGAACTTTTGTCTTTCCTTCAAGAAAGTTGCAGTAACATCCTTGGATTGTTTAAAATCTATTCTTACATTTTAACTGCAGGATGCGTCATTTTCTTTTCCTAATTTTTGGCCTTGGAAGTTTTTTTTTTAAATGAGATCAAGTGAGATCGAAATTGTCTGAGTCCCATCTTGAGAATCTGGTATCCAACAAAAATGTATTGGCATCTAAGCGAATAAAGATTTGTCACAGTTGAAAATTGTGAATCCCCCAACACTGCAGATGTTCAGAGTCGTACTGTTGACACAGCAAAACCAATTGGTGATAAGTTTATGATGTCTATAAAATGTCGTAAACTAAATTGCTAAAGATGTAAGCACTGTTACTGGTAGGATTAATGTAAAGCAAAATCTAAATCAAAGAAATTAATATAAATTCTAAAAAGCCAATCAGTGGCAAATAATGAATAGACACATCCTAATTTAAAAATGCTTTCAGATTGAGATAAATAAAATAAAATTTGGATGAAGTGGAAACTATCATTAAATTGACAGTTCAGCAGGACACCGAAAATTACTGATAATGCTTATGACAAGTACCTGATTTTATTACTATTGTCCACTTCAGAGGTCTGTAAGAACCGCAGTAAGTGCCAGATTAGATACTGTTTAGGGAAACTTTTCTCTTTAACCCTAACCATTGTTCGGGTTAATTCACGGTGGAATAATGGGGTATGTAATCCCTATTTGACCTTGCATCAGCTAATGAAGCAGATGTTGTCTGCATTTATTTCCCTGTCATTCATTCTTCCATTGAAACCAAAGGTCCCTGTACTATTTAGCGAATGTTGAGTGTTTCTTATGAGATACCGGTAACTGCAGTCAACTGGTGAGCGATTGACTGGGCATGGCGTGTCATTTATGAAAATGTACAGTGCACGTGCCTGTAGTCTCAACAACCTGAATCGGTCAACAGTCATCACGGCAGAGTGCCAGTGAAAGAAATAAGAGACTGATTAAAAAAATAGTTGTTTTCCCTCAGGCACCTGACAGTGATAGCAGCAACTCTGTTAGGATAATTCATGATAAATTGGGCGCATTTATTATTCATACTGTGAAGAGGTTTCTATTGGTAGATCATCTCATGTGCTGAAGTGCATTCCTCTATTGCTTTGCTTTATCATTTTGTTTCATTTATGACTTCCTTCCATGTTTTTTCCCTCTCCAAATGATTGGTACGTTATAACTGGATTCATCGTTTTTGGCATGTGAGAGATAATGGATTAATTGCAAGTTGCCTCTGTGCAAAGAGATTTTTTGTTGATGGCCTGTAGATTTTACACTTTAATCTAATTATGGTACCAAAATATCTGCATCACAATTTGCTTTTTTTTTTGTGAGTGAGCTGCTGAAATCATGCTTTTATCTTATAGCCATCAATAGTCCAACTGATTGTTTAAGCTTGAAACAGACGTAAAGAAAACTGTCGAAGGTTAAGCTAATGTTGTATTCAGGTACCACCGTTAAACAGCCTTCCCCAAAATAAGACGGGCAGAGAAACTTCATGTATATATTTGAAGTTTATTTATGCATGCAGATTTCAAATGCATCATGCATGCCGATTTTTTTCATCAGAACACCCAAGATATTGGCCTGAAATGTCTCCTCACGTGACTGTTACAATTAAAGAACCTTCAGAATGTAACAAATGTTTCATGATGGGATAAGCATGGGAAAAAAATCAGCATTGAATGAATAAAATGGACTTGTCCATCCAGTACATTTTGGGGGGGGGGGCCAGGACTCACCTGAGAAGAGGGGAAGCCTGGTAGTGGTGGTTGAAGGAGCTTGTGTCTCAGGTTGTTGTTGATGTATGCGGCATTGATTGAGCCGCCAGACTGCTGTATGCATTTGTGCTTTAGATTTCTAGTTGTACAGTGCTGGTCTCTTTCCCATTTTCTCTTCGTATCAATGCTGTTGTGATTTCCTGTGCACACTACCGGTAATTTACATGTATTTTTGATGGGACCTGTCTGTCCAGAGTAAAATTGCCTTCAAGAGACTTGTATTATATTTTTTTTGGGGGGGGAGGGAGAAGAGGATGGTTATATGTAGATATGTACCACCACCAGGTGCTCTGTTCCTGTACCTCTCATGTAACACTACTAGATGCCTCTACATGTACCAGTCTATGGTAATTTATACATGTCATACAGGAAGATACGGGTACATATGTATGTAATGAATTCTTGCAGTATCAAAACACCAACGTATTTCCAGACTTTTGTTACATTGAACTTTGTTCATCCATCATGCAGCTGGTAGTAATAGACATGGTACATGTACTTTGCCGTGTGATTGTATATTATTTTACAAAGTGTTCCAGTTTGTGTATATACCAGAATCATGCCAGACAGTTAACCAGGCATGTACATGTATTGTTTTACTTGTTTATTTTAGGTAAGATGCAGAGGTGAGCTTAAATTACACGTACAACAGGCATGAACCTGTTGGAGAGAACTTTGCTCAAATCTCGCACAAAAGAGATCAATCCATGAGTGCATATGTGTAGAAGTTTTTCACATCCTGTCAAATACATGTAGGTCTCTCTTGAATGACGTCACTCCCTACAGATTACTGTTCCACATGCATCGGTTTTTTTTACTTCAATTTTCGTGATGCGCATCAGTGCTGTACTTTGAACATATTTGGAACAATAGTTTTTAAAATTTTGCACACTGCGCGCACACATGCACCTGTTTGCCTCACATACGCAGTGGCAATTTCCTACAAAGTTTGCATCTAATGAGAGAGATCTACATGTATCTTTATTACATGTGTATACACGTACATGATTTAATTTTATTTGCATTGTAAAAGTAAGTTTATTTTGCTCCTTTGCAGTTATTAAACATGAAAAAAAAAAAGATCACATGTTGGGGCATGTGCATGACAGCACCGTGGTGGGGTGGAAGGTGATGAAAAATTTCACATGGACTGTCAGCCTTGATGTTTCCTTTTCCCTTTCACCTGTAAATTGCATTTGTATCAATGATTAGATGGAGTGTTTGTCCAGTCATGCTTTATTGTTTTTGAGTGTTCCACCAACCATCCAAAAGTGTACACTAAGCCATTAGTTAAAAGGTTTTTACAGAGCTGTGACTGGGAGCCCTAAAAACCAAAGTAACATGTACCGTACATGTACATGTAGGTAGTCACTGTTTTACTGCACAAAATTATATGCCAGGGCAGCATCTTTTTTTTTTCCCCTGTCATTTTTTAGGAATGATGAATGTGGTAGGTTTGGCTATGTACTCTGTCTCTTGCCCACAAGTTCTTTGTCTTTTAAAAGTTTGTTTGGAGCTGGTCTCATCATCACAATGGGCACCCCCTCAAAAAAATGTGAGTGCGCATCCAGAGACTGATTGCCTGAACAAAACACACGTGTGTGTTTTTAACATTGCATTGTGTGTGTGTGCTGGTTACATGTACATGTATCTCTTGCAACAACGCTGAATACTTGTGTGCAGCAAAGAAGCTTATCTACAGAAAAAACCACTATGACGATACCCTTGGAGGGAATAACAGTGTGTCACTGACAAAGACTGGAATGTTTGTGAACATTTACAATGAGATATATACTTCTGATACACTGTGCTTTTTATTATTCAGGATTATCAGTATTTTGAAACTTTTTTCTCCTTTTTTTCCCACTTTCTACAAAATTTCAGTCATCAAATGGAAAGACTGAACAACTATGGTAGCTTAGACTAGAAATTGCAGGTGTGCTTCCCTACATGTACCTGTATTTTAGTGTTTGAATCAGCTGTGTGTTCTTTCAAAGGAACCTTTGTTATAGTGTTTCTGCTGAAAAAAGTGTACTTCCTTTAACAGCAATTCAGAGTTGCCAGGAAATGTTCAGGTCACATTACACAAGATTTAGAAGCGATCAGTAACTCTGGAACCTGTATTGCCCACTTTTGGATCTTGCGTTTCACCACAAAAGTGATTAATTTCCAAAATTATTGGTGTTTGTTCAC